AGCCCTGGCACTGCTGGGGCTCTGGCTGTGCACTGGCAGACCCCCCCGGGGCACAGGGATAGGTACCTGCTCAGCATACACAAGGAGGGCTCTTCTGCAGCAGCAAGGAACCTGGAAACAGGGAAGGACAGCACCAATGTCACCCTGGCACAGCTGGAACCAGGAACTTGCTACCTGGTTGGGATCTGGGCAGTAGCTGGAACCTTCCGTTCCATCCCCAAGAACATCACTGGCTGCACAGGTGAGCATCCATACAGCCCCTGAGTGCTGTGGATGGGAGCACTGTCAGGAGCTCTGGAATGGGGTGGGGATCCATGTTGACACCCAGGGGCAGGAGAGGAGGGCAGCTTGGCCTGGTTCCCAGTGGCGCTGGCATGCAGCCATCTCCTGTCCCTTGCAGCCCTCTTTCCCCTCGTGAGTGCAGAGGTCTTCTGGCTGCTGCTGGCTTGTGGCAGAAGCAGGACTGCTCACCCATGGCTGCACACCCAAAGCTGCATCTACTTTCTTCTGACCTATGTGTCTGTTTTTCCTCACAGTTCCTGTTTTTTCTTTACCAACGCGGGCAGCTCCTCAGAGCTTCATGTGAGCTGGAACAAACCCCCTGGCAGGAGGGACCACTACCTTATTACTCTGTACAGCCTTAGCACCCAAAAGAAGGATCAAGTCCAGACCTTGAGTCCTGATGCCCAGAACTTTACTTGGACCCACTTGGAGGCAGGCAGCAGGTTTGCTGTGCAGGTCACTGCTGTGAAAGGCCTTTTCAAAGCCTCCTCCATCAACGTCACCCAATGGACATGTGAGTCTGATGGGCTGGGTTGGACACAGCGCTCCATTGTGTCCCAGAGCTTCCACCTGAACATTGCAGAGCAACCACCACTACCTTTCCCATCCCAGAATGTCCCTGCTCTGCCCCTTCTCCACAACTGTCCCACCTTTCTGCTCACTGTCCTTACTCCTTCCTCGACCCAGAACCAATCCCTGCCCCCCACTTCGAAGGCTCTGGATGTCTTCCCTGCATGTCCAGCTGCAAACCCTGGGGTTACCGTGCTCATAGACACATGTCTGCCCGTTTTTCCCTGTGCTTCTTCATGCCTGCAGAGCTGAGGTGTTCAGCCTGGAGAAGAGAGGGCTCCAGGGAGACCTTAGAGCATCTTCCAGTGCCTGAAGGGGCTCCAGGGAAGCTGGGGAGGGACTTTTGGAATGGGCAGGGAGTGATGGATGGGATGACGTGCAAGGGTTCCAAACTGAAAAAGAGGAGACTGAGATGAGATCTTAGAGAGAAATTCTTTTCTGTGAGGCTGGTGAGACCCTGGCCCAGGTTGCCCAGGGAAGCTGTGGCTGCCCCATCCCTGGAAGTGTTGAAGTGCAGGTTGGATGGGACAGGGAGCAACCTGGTCTAGTCAGAGGTGTCCCTGCCTGTGGCAGGGAAATTGAAACTAGGTGATCCTTAAGGTGCCTTCCAAGCCAGCCTGGGATTCTATGATTCTGTTCTTCTCCCTTGGGATGATCTACAGTGCCCAGCGTGCCCATTTCCCAGTGGGAGCTGGAGTCCAGTATTGCCAGAGCACGAGGAACCCCTGGGCAAAGACTTTGGCTCATTGCACTGAGCAGAGAGTGGTGGCACACGGGGCCTGACTGTCTCCCTGTTGCTTTCCAGACCCCTTGGCCCCTGCCAGCTTCACCCTGGGCAGTCCTTCTGCCTCCACGCTGCAGGTCTCCTGGGCAGTCATGGGCCGAAGAGCAGAAGGCTTCGTGGTAGAGGCCTATGACACAGCCTCCAGCAGCTGCGTTGGGCGCGTGGCGCTGGGTGCGGATGCCCAGAGTCACATCTTCAGGAACCTGAGCCCCGGCACCCGCTACCATGTGGCAGTGAGGGCCACAGCAGGGCCCTTCCACACCAGCACCCCCAACATCACCCACTGCACACGTGAGTATGATGGTTTCCTTGCAGTCAGGTGTCCTCCACCAGATCTCCCCTTTCATAGGGAGAATCAAAGGCCATATGGGTGCAGCCAGATCCTGCCACCCTCTCACATCCATGCAAGCTCCCAGTGCTCATGCCCTACTGGTTGCAGCATGGGGAGTCTGTGCATGACCATGTGGCCTGATTACCCATCTCCCTGGTAGCCGTCCACAGCCATCCACAGGCTCAGGCAGCACCAGGGAGGAGGCAGCTGCGACAGGGCTGAGGGCAAAGCCAGCCCTCGGGACCTTGCAGAGCTGACTCACCTTCTGCAGCACCTGCTTGGCACAGATATGGAGCAGCTGCTTTTCCCTCAGATGTGGCTTTTCAGCCCAGATGTGGCTTCTGCAGTGACTTGTGTCTCCTCCCAGGACCACTGCCCCCGGCCACCCTGCGCTGGCTGAGCCAGGGACACCCCGACACCCTGAGCGCCTCCTGGGGAGCCCCGGCCGGGGGCCGGGACGGCTACAGCCTGACCCTGCGCCGGGCAGCGCTGGGCACCGTGGCAGCTACAGCCTCGCTCGGGAGAGACACTCACAACTTCACCTTCACGGGCCTGGCCCCAGGGTACGAGTACTCCCTGGAAGCCAGCACCATGGCTGGACCCTACCGGGCAGCAGCACCCAACATCAATGGCTGGACACGTGAGTGCCCGGAGCAGTGTCCTCTACGGAGGGGTGGGAGATGTTGCACCACCGGGCAGCCATGAGGAGGGCTGGGAGGGGACCTGCTGCCTTTGGAAGTGGACTTTCACACGTGGTGCAACATGCAGCAGGTAGTGCAGGGGCACACTCTTACCCTCGTGGACATGAGGATGTTCAGCTATAGGCTTGCACAAATACATGCTGACGACATTCAGGTTGCCCAGCTGTGCACATGTGGGGATATCCCCCTGCCTGGGCTGCCCCATCTCCCTGTGCACATTAGCCCTCAAGCTACCTCTGAATCCCCTCCAGCTGGTAGAAACCACATTGCCATAAAGGTTCATGAAATGAATCAGTGCAGTACAAGAGGCTAACGCACAGTCCTCCCAAGAGAATTGGTCTTTGCTTTGGAGATCCAGAAAGATTTAGGGCTGGTCAGAGTATATACAACTGATAGATTATTGAGTGTGCCCTCAGTCAGTTTGCAGGTGACACCAAGTTGGGAGGCAGTGTTGATCTGCCTGAGAGTAGGAAGGCTCTGCAGAGGGTCCTGGACAGGCTGGATCAATGAGCCAAGGACAATTGTGTGAGGTTCAACAAGACCCAGTATTTGATCCTGCATGTGGGTCACAAAAGCCCCAGGCAATGCTCCAGGCTTGGAGCAGAGTGTCTGGAAAGTGCCTAGGAGAAAAGGATCTGGGGGTGTTGGCTGAGAGAAGCTGATGGTGAGCCAGTGTGTGCCCAGCTGGCCGCCAGCATCTTGGCTTGTGTCAGCACTAGTGTGGCCAGCAGGACCAGAGCAGGGATCATCCCCCTGTGCTGGGCACTGGTGAGAGGACACCTCAAATCATAGGGTCAGCTTTGGGCCCCTCACCACACGAAGGACACTGAGGACCTGGAGCATGTCTAGAGAAGAGCAGTGAGGGTGGGGAAGGCTCTGGAGCACAAGTCTTACGAGGAGCAGCTGAGGGAACTGGGGGTGTCCAGCCTGGAGCAAAGGAGGCTGAGGGGAGACCTGCTGGCTCTGCAACTGCCTGAGAGGAGGTTGGAGCCAGGGGGGTTGGTCTTGTCTCCAAAGGATCAAGTCATGGGATGAGGGGCATTGCCTCAAGTTGTGCCAGGGAGGTTTAGATTGGACATTTGGAACAATTTCTTCCTGGAAAGGGTTATCAGGCCGTGGCCCAGGCTGCCCAGGGCAGTGATGGAGTCCCCATCCCTGGAGGTGTTAAAAGATGTGAAGATGTGGTGCAGAGGGACATGGTTTAGTGGTGGCCTTTGCAGTGCTGGGCTAATGGTTGGACTTGATGATATTGAAGATATCCAACCAAAGTAATTCTATGATTCTACGATGTGCCAGCTCTGCCTGGCAGCTGCGCTCCAGCGGTGTGCTGGAGGACATGTGCATGCAGCAGTGGCAAAGGTGCTCCAGCTTGGCTGTGGGAATGAGGGTGACCAGAATGAGGAAGTGTTGCCATATAGGGACGACAGAGGGTGAGCAGTGTTAAAGGTGAGGTGGGGTTGGGAACAGATAGAAGTCAGGAGGAGTGTGCTAGAGGGGATCTACGAGTCCCAGCCCTCAGGGAACATCTGTCCTGCTGTACAACATCCCATCAAGGGTCTGTTCCCTCTGGCGCAGTCTCCATTCCCTAACATCAGATCTGGTGCCTCCCCAGGCCCTCTGCCCCCAGCCGCCGTGTGCCTGCTGAGCCAGGGACACCCCGACACCCTGAGCGCCTCCTGGGGAGCCCCGGCCGGGGGCCGGGACGGCTACAGCCTGACCCTGCGCCGGGCAGCGCTGGGCACCGTGGCAGCTACAGCCTCGCTCGGGAGAGACACCCACAACTTCACCTTCACGGGCCTGGCCCCAGGAAGCAAATATGTGCTGGAGGTGATGTCCATGGCGGGGTCCTACTGGGCATCTGCAGGGAACGTCAGCAACTGGACGTGTGAGTATCCTGTGCTGAGGGTGTCACGAAAGCTCCTGGCAAAGGACACAGCCCTATTGGCCTTCATGGCCACCCTGAGCCCTGCGTGAAGCCACGTGCAAGTCAGTGGTGTAGCAGGGAGCAGGGATATGCCCACCTCACCATGGGCTCCACCAGCCTGGGTTGGGCCAGCTGAAGCTCCTGAGGCTTCAGAGGAACAAGGAGGAGGGAGCAGCAGACAGTGGTCACCATCCCCTTCAGCTGGATGTTCCCTCCTCACCCATCCCCAGGTGTCTTGCTCCAGCTGGGATAGGAGCTGGTCTGCTCAGGCACAATCTGAGGCTTGCAGGAGCTGCTTTTAGCTGTCTGCAAACTGGTGGATGCAGCCATCCTGCATGCTGCCCTGTCCTGTGTTGCTGTATCCCTTCTGATGACACTGCCACGATACCCAGGTGGTGTGCTCAGAGCCTGAGGTGTCTCTTACCCTGTTTCTCCAGATCCCCTGGCACCCCGGAATGTGTACATGACCAACCAAGGCTACCCCAACAGGCTGAGTGCATCCTGGCGAGCAGATCCCCAGGCACAGGACAGTTACAGGCTCCTCCTGTACCACTGGGGCTCAGGTGCTGTGGCAGCCAACGTGTCCGTTGGGAAAGGCACCAGGAAATTCACCTTCTCTGGCCTGGCTCCAGGACACAAATACCTGCTGGAGGTGGTGTCCATGGCAGGGCCCTACGTGGCCTCTGCGGGGAACATCAGTGACTGGACAAGTGAGTGGCAAGAGCTGGAGATCCTTGCACCACATGGGGGGCTCAACCTCCCCCAGCTGGTGGGGTCAGTGTCTGCAGGGGGCAGAACATGCTGAGAGCTTTCTGGAGACTGGAGGTACCATTGCAGCAGACAGACCATGGGCTGTGCCAGGAGAGCAGGGCAGTGCTGCCCTCAGGACATGGTGGCTGTTTCAGGAGGGAAAGCTCCAGGTCATGGCCCCACTGTTCATAGAATCATAGAATGGTTTTGGTTGGAAAGGACCTTAAAGATCATCTGGTTCCAACCCCCCCTGCATGGGCACCTCCCACCAGCCCAGGCTGCTCCAAGCCCCATCCAACCTGCCCTTCAACACTTCCAGGGATGGGGCAGCCACAGCTTCCCTGGGCAACCTGGACCAGGGTATCACCAGCCTCATAGTGAAGAATTTCTTCCCAACATCTCCCCTCTTCCAGTGTAATCCATTACCCCTTGTCCAGTCTCTACAAGCCCTTGTCAAATGTCCCTCCCCAGCTTCCCTGTACGCCCCCTTCAGATCCTGGAAGGCCTCTGTGATGTCTCCCTGGAGACACAAGCCATCTCCTCCAGGCATAGGAGAGTGCACAAGAGTGAGGGATGCCATGGCAGTAGTGCTGCTCTGGTAGAGGACACCCACAGCCCAGACAGGCAGGGGGGGGACACCCCACCAGCCCTGCTGCCTTCCTCCAAATATTCAGAAAATTCCTGGCATGGAGCACAGGGGGAGAATGGGCTTTTTGCCTTTTTTGGGTTGATTTCTTTTTTTTTTTTTTCCCCCAAGGAATGAGGAATTTGCAGATAAGCACAATAAGCCTTTTCATGTGCTTGTCCCCACACTCCCTGCACTTTGCTTGGGGAATCCAGAGGTCTCTGCTCCCACGCTCAGCCAGCCCCTGGTAGGGTGCTAGGAGTCATGTGCATAGCCCTGAAGGCAAGTTTCTGATGAAACTTGCTAACTGGAATGAGGAAGAACCCATTTCCTCATGTTCCTCACTCTACATGTTCTCCAGTTGCCATTTGAAAGTCATTTCTGGCAGTGGCAGCCAGTATCTGCATGATGTTATCAGTGAACATAGGAGGTTTCCTTGCATGTTACTGTCTTCTACTTGTATTCAGATGGGTTGACGAGAAGCTCAACACAAGCCAGCAACGTGTGCTGGAGCCAGAAACCAACCCTGTCACCAGCAGCGTGACCAGCAAGTCAGGGAGGTGATTGTCCCCCTCTGCTCCACTCTGGTGAGACCCCCCTGTGGGGCTGGGTCCAGTTCTGGGATTCCCAACACAGAAAGGACATGGAGCTCTTGGAATGAGTCCATAGAAGGCCACGGAGATGATCCAAGGCTGGAGCAGCTCTGCTCTGGAGACAGGCTGAGAGAGTTGGAGTGTTCAGCCTGGAGAAGAGAAGGCTCCAGGGAGACCTTAGAGCAGCTTCCAGTGCCTGAAGGGGCTCCAGGAAAGCTGGGGAGGGGCTTGGGACAAGGGCAGGGAGGGATTGGATGAGGGGGAATGGTTGCAAGCTGAAAGAGGGGAGATAGGGATTGGATATGAAGAAGGAATTCTTTTCTGTGAGGGTGGTGAGAGCCTGGCCCAGGTTGCCCAGGGAAGCTGTGGCTGCCCCATCCCTGGCAGTGTTGAAGGGCAGGTTGGATGGGGCTTGGAGCAACCTGGGCTGGTGGGAGGTGTCCCTTCCCATGCAGGGGGTTGGATCTAGATGACCTTTAAGGTCCCTTCCAACCCAAACCAGTCTGGGATTTTGAGATTGTATCTCTATAGGATAGGGGAGAGCTCCTGATTGCTGGTAACTTTCCCCTGGTGTGTTTTTTTATTGTAGCCCCTTCAGTTCCCAAAAATCTCTCTCTGGTAGCTGAAGGCAACAACACGATGCTCCTCTCCTGGAGCAGCATCTCTGGACAGCAGGACGACTGCCAGTTGTGGCTGCGGGATCCCAGGAACAGCACCCTGCCCCAGCGGCATGTCCTTGGAAGAGGACAGGTTCAGCACCTCCTCCAGGGGCTGATCCCAGGGAGGAACTACTCTGTCTCTTTGAGCTGCGTGGCTGGGCCCTACTGGAGCAGCACCAAACCCCTGGCAGTGCCCGTGGGTGGGTGTGCATGATCCTGAGGACGGGGGGCGTGGGGGCTGGAAGGGAAAGAAACTTTTGGGTGGCCTCCGGGCTGGATCAGCCCTTGAGTGTCTACACAAGCATGGGAAGTCTTTCTGGTGGGAGATGAGGAAAGCCAGGAAGGTGACCCTCTGGTAGCCATGGGTCCCCTAAGCTAGCCCCATCCCAGAGACAGGATCACCTCATGGCCTGGCTGCCTGTGAAGTGAAGTGGGCTCTTGGTCTGCTCCCCCTGTAGGAGCCCTCACCTGTTCACCTGGTTCTGTGGCCCTTGGCACAGCATGCTCCCAGGTCGCAGGTGTCCAGCTTTGCTTCTCCCTCTGGCCTAGGGACAGACAGTAAAGGACCAGGGTGGCTCTGGGCTAATGCATGGGCTGAAGTTGGGCTTTCTCTGATCTAGTAAGTTCAGAGCCTCAGTATCTCCTTCGCAGATCCAAACCCTGTGGAAGACATGCAATGCCTACCAGAACCAAGGAGTCTTTACTTGAACTGGACCAGCTCTCCTGGAGATGTGGATGCTTATGAGGTGGTGACAGAGAGACTCTCTGATGCACCTCCCACCTCCAAGTATGTCCTGAGTGTCCCTACGAGCAAGGCCAACCTGGAGGGGCTGAGGCCGAACTCATCCTACCGAGTTGCTGTGAGCACACTGGGCATGAACACGATGAGGAGCCAGGCTGTAACTCTGCTCTGCAACACAACAGTGGAGGGTGAGTCCCCTTCTTTTCCACAACCTTATGTCCTGCACAGAACTGCAGGGGGTCAGTGAGGTGGGTCTAACACGCTAAAAGGCTGTGCTTACTTGTTCCTTTTCCAGCCCTGCCTCCACCCCTGCGAGAAGACATCTTCCAGGTGGAGGCCAGATCCACAGTCATCATTTCATCTGACCTGTTCAGCGAGGAGAATGGCCAGATCGAGTACTATGGTGTCGTTGCTACCACCAACAATTCACGTAAGTGCCCTGCAGGGACTCCCTGGGGGCAGCAGATCCCCTGGATGTCACTTTGGAACTACCACTGTCACCTTGTACAGTTCTCCAGAGGAGGCCACAAAGGTGATCAGAGGGCTGGAGCACTTCTCCTGTGAAGGCAGGCAGAGAGGGTTTGTCTTGTCTGGAGAAGAGAAGGCTCCAGGGAGACATCATAGCAGCCTTCCAGTATCTGAAGGGGCTCCAGGAAAGCTGGTGAGGGACTTTGAGCAAGGGCATGTAGTGAGAGGACATGGGGTAATGGACTTAAACCAGAAGAAGGGAGATTTAGATTAGACATTAGAAGGAAATTCTTTGCTGTGAGGGTGGTGAGACACTGGAACAGGTTGCCCAGGGAAGCTGTGAAGGCCCCAAGTGCTCAAGGGCAGGTTGGATGGGGCTTGGAGCAGCCTGGTCTAGTGGGAGGTGTCCCTGCCCATTCAGGGGTGGTTGAAACTAGATGATCTTTGAGGTGCCTTCCAACCCAAACCATTTCATGATTCTATGATTCCTCTTCAGTGCTCAGGCCCACCCAGGAAATTATGTCCAGCACATGGTATGACCACTATTATGGGACAGAAGATTCCTATCTGGCTGTGCTAATCCCCAATCCCTTCCACCTGAGCCCCAGGAGCTCCCGTGAAACCTGGCGAGTGCCAGTGGGAACAGAGGAGTGTGGCCAGTCCAGGACAACCTGCAACGGGAAGCTGAAAGCCAATGAGCAGTACAGGTGAGAGAGGACAACATCCCTCCTGGGGATAGGGGCTGGAGGAGAAAAAGGACTGTATGTGTCCCTGCAAGGTGTCACCGGCTTCCTGGATGTCACCTCACCCTCATGCTCCCCAGACCCAGGGGTTGTTCCACCAAGTGACATTTAAGGGATGCAAGGAAACCTGGAAGATACAAGACCATGGGAGAGGGAGAGAGAGGGAAAACTGGGGCTGAAAAGGGCTCTGCATATTGCTTTGGAGCTGGACACCTCCAGAGCAGGAACTGGAATGGTTGCTGTCATTTGTAGGACATTTGCACATGTCTTGGAGTCTACTACAAAGGAAGTATCATCTCTTCAGTGAGTGCTCTGTTGAGATAGCAGCTCAGAATTTTATCAAACAGGGTCCATAGACCCAGACATTTCTTTGCCAAAGGGAACTCCCAGAATCTGAGGGTTGTTCAATTTGAAGAAGGTTACAGCAAGGGTGACTGACTAGTGGTGGAAGTCACTGAGGGTATTGGGAAAAGAGAAAGAAAGAACATAAGAGAGTGTGTTCAGGAGAGAGAGCTTCACTTTCCCTGGTGAGCAAACATAGAGTTAGATCTGCCCATAAGTTCTGTGGTGGGAGGAGTCCCTGGTGGTGGGTTTGGACCTGCTGGTTCTCCTTCCTTTCTGCTCTTCTGCCTCCACTCTCTCCTTTTGTTCTGTGCAAACTCTGTGCTTACAAGAAAACCTGAAATTGATTCTTACAGGGTCAGTTTAGATTTACACATTGACAAAAATGGTCTTTTAACTCAAACTGCTGTTTGGGGCAGCACTTGCAAAGAGTAGAGATCGGTGTTAACACCTTCTCAGGGAGCAGGAAATGGCTGCTTCTCCTGGGAAAAAAAAACAAACAACAAAGAGGGTTTCCAGAGTGCCTTGGGAATCCCACACAGAGTAGGATCATCAAGAGCAAACAGCTCTTCAGGGTCTCCCCAGGGACTGTTTATGCCTAGCAGAACACCTGTATGATGATACATTCCCATCCCATGGCCACCTGTGCTGCTGTGATTCCTGGGCTGGTACTGGAGAGTCTCCAAATGGTTGACTGCCCATCAAGCCTGTCTGTTCTCTTTTGCTAACAACTCCTGCCCAGCTTGACCTTGAGCCTGGAAGGGCAAGCCTGACTGCTTGACACTGGCAGCCTCAGACCTGGCCTTCTGCTCCAGCTGGCAAGGCTGAGACAGGGGACAGCCTGGGCACAAGCTGGGTCTGTGTCACACCATAGGTGCTCAGCCCAATGCCTGCCAGCAGACCCGAGCAGAGTTTAGCAAGATCAGGAGCCCACTTCGGTACCTACACCCCCCAGATACCATCCAGCCAGTCTGCCAACGTGTGCCTGCCTTCCTTGCTTCCCAGCTGCCACTCCAGCACCTCCCTCCTGCAGGGCAGTCCTACTCCAGAGCCATCAGGCTGTCATTAGTCACCTGCATGATTCAGTAACATGTGCTGAACTGCCTAGTTACTCAGGACTAGAAGATCCTCCTGCATCTCTCCCCAGTTTGCTTTCACTTTGCCCCAGAGAGCATGGATACTCAGTGCCCTGCTGCTTCCCCGGGTAAGCGTTGGTGCTGAGGTGAAGAGCAGGTTGCTGACAGACCATCTCTGCTCTCAAAGCTGGCCCTTGTTTCCTATCTTTCAGTGAGGTATTTATCCACCTGTATCTCTCATGACGTGGCACCTTCAGGCTCAGTTTCCAAAGAGGTCTTTACTCTGCCAGTCAGGACTCACAGACTCCTGGCTGCTGAAATCCAAAGCTATGGTTGAAAACCTTTGCCCACATTTAGAGCATGAGAAGCCCAACTCCTACAAGTTGGGCTTCCTACCTGCTGGGAAGGCCATCAGCTCTGCAGGGAGCTGTGAGGCTTGGTGTGCACCTTGCTGGGGGGACAATGCAGGGCAGATCTCCACAGGGAAGAGGATGTTCCAGCCACTTCTGTGTGCATAAGGAAGGGTCTGGGTCAGGGCTTGGCTCTCCCAGCTGGCGTGCCCCTCTTTCAAACAATTCCCAGGGCTCAGCTTTTTCAAGTCAACCCAATTAATGGGTTGACATGAACTAAGACAATGACTCAACCCAACTTGGTTTTCCCTACTTACTGTTGTCTTTCCTTATTTGTGTTTTACAAGAGAGCAGAAATTTACTACTTGTCTCTGCATGTGACCCTTTGGGGGAGAGCTCCTTCTTATTTGTGCTCTCTGAATATTTTCTCATATTTTCCCAAGTGTAACAAATTTGTCTGAGAGGCAGAAAAGGGAGGAAAGACATTTTTATACATTCCCTAAATCCTTACCAGAAAAAAACAGCTTCTTCCAATATAGCATTTCAGAAGAGAGGCAGCTGTCCTGGTCCCCTGAGTCTTCTTCCCGCTGGCTGCGTCGGGGCTGCCCTCAGCTCAGCTTGCCCCTGATGACAGGAGTCTGCTCTGCCCTAGGTTCAGCATTGCTGCCTTCACCAAATATGATCCAGTATCCCCTGCAGTGACGTTCACCATGTTCTCAGGTAAGATGGGGAATGTCACCTTTTTGCAGGGACTTGTGGCAAGAGGACAAGGGGGAATGGATTAAAATTGGAAGAGGGGGAATTTAAATTAGACATTAGGAGGAAATTCTTCACTATGAGGGTGGTGAGAGCCTGGCCCAGGTTGCCCAGGGAAGCTGTGGCTGCCCCATCCCTGGCAGTGTTGAAGAGCAGGTTGGATGGGGCTTGGAGCAGCCTGGGCTGGTGGGAGGTGTCCCTTCCCATGCAGGGGGAGTTGGATCCAGATGATCTTTAAGGTTTTTCCAAGCCAAACCAGTCTGGGATTCTATGATTCCATAATCTTCCCTGCCTGGGTGTGTAGGTTGGAGATAATCAACAACCTGACAATGACAAGCCAGAGTGACATCATAGGCTGTAGCAAATACAATCAAGTAAATGCAGCCATTTACTGACTCTTCTATCCCTTCTATCTCTTTTTCACTCCAGCTGCTGGATCTGGTGCAGACACAGCTCCACTCTCAATGCCAATAATTGCTGGAATAATCATGGGATTTCTCCTGACACTTGCAGCTATTTTTGCTTTGATCTACTGGAAACAGCTCAGAGCGAAGAGGTGAGGATGAACCATCTCTTACCTGACAATACCAACCTTCCATGCCAGGCCAGGAGAAGGACCAGTGAGGAGATACAAAGAGATTTAGGCAAACCAGGAGACATGCTAGTAGAGTTGTGCCTGGCAAGCAGAGAAGCAAAGGGCCGAGGGGAGAGAGGAGCTGCCTATGGAGTCTCCATCTCTGGAGACATTCCAAACCCATCTGGATGTGATCCTGTGGGATCTACTGTAGGGGATCCTGCTCTAGAAGGGAGTTGGATTAGATGATCTTCAGAGGGCCCTTCCAGCCCTGACCACTCTCTGACTCTGTGTGCAGTTGATTCCCACCTCTCCAGGTGTGCAAGGCAGCCTGTGTGCCTGGTGTGAGTCATCTTCTCGCAACTGTCCCCTGGGCCAGCAGTGCACAATATGCCCATAGCATCCATCCTTGCAGGGAAGGGTAACATCTCCCATGCTTTGATTCTAGAACCAAGAAGAGCAGCTTGCCCCAGGAAATGACGACCTACAGCTTGAGGTGAGTGCAGGAGGCTTCCCTCTCTGCCTGACCCCGCAGCAGGTTCCAAAGTCTTTCACCTGCTTCCTTTCTTATGCTTTGGCTCAGGAAAAATCCCAACTCTTGTCTCCTCTCCTTCCATTATTTTTTAGATCCCAGGCTTTCCCATGTTCAGTATTTATTACCCAGCTCCATTCCAAGCTAATGCTTTGCCCACGCCTCCTATTTGAGGCTTCTGCGGTGGGAGAATATCCTCATAATCCTGAAATCCCTCCTGATATTTAAACAATGCTTTGTTGGACCTGGGCAGTGACCAGGGTAGAAACCATCCCAGTGTCTGTACATCCAGATACTGCAGGTCTCGAGGCCAGGTTGTCTCCTTGGCCACCAGACTGACCTGCATCCCAATACCTAAGGCAAGTTTTCCTCTGGACTTTATTTCATGCAGGAATGTCCATCGGCCAATTCCCATCCAGAGCTTCCAGCAGTACTATGAGATGAAGACAGCAAGTGCTAACCAAGGTTTTTTCCAGGAGTTTGAGGTGAGATGAGAGTCCTGCTAGAGATAAGACCTCATTTTCCCTCATGCCAGCAGTAAGTAGCTCATGCCCAAGCTGTTGGGAGGCCTGTATGGACTCCTCATCTCCAGGGACAGTAACCCATCCCTAGCAATCCAACCACCCTGCTAGGCAGTCTTGGAGGCCAAGGATTGGACGGACCAAGATATCAGGCAGTTCCTTTGCTTAAACCTGTTTTTGTTCAAGTTCTGGTAGAAACACATATTGTCTGTGGCATGAGGTGAACTAGCACCATCTGTAGCTGCTGGTGGATGAAGCTAAGGCCTAGACTGGAGGTGGAGATGCTGAGGGGTTCTGAAAAAAGATTCACCTTGACAGTGTTAGAAAAGATCCTGGAGCCAAAAGGAAGGTTGAGAAGCACTCTCAGAGCTGTAGGGCTGGGTGTGAAATTCACCTCAGGCTACCTTCACTGTCTCCACTGCCAACATCTGCAGGTTCTGAATTGTTCTGCTGACAGCACCTTTGAAAGTCTTGTCAGCAATTTCAAACCCTCCTCAGATCAGCCTTCTCTGGCCTTTTGAATGAAAACAGAGGCAGGAGCACAAGTTATTTTTGTTTCTGCAGCATGAGTTGTTTCAGTTTTCTCAGCATAAAATGCTCTGAGCTTCTTGGTAGATTTCTGAGAAGGTGTTTTCCCCCCAGTACTTGTTCCTGGGCTTGTTTTCTTTTAAATACAAACTGTTGTTGGAAAAGGCACTGAGAAAAGTCACCTATGGCTCAGAGTCCACAGCCCATACTGAAGGAGAAGCAGAGCAGTTCACTGTGCATGGATGACCCTTTTGGACCCCCAGCCAGATCCGTGGGTCATGAGCAGGGAGCTGGGTTGGCCAGGAACTCTCCAGAGAGACATTTGTGCTTATCTTTTCCCCTGCCCTACAGGAGCTGAAGGAAGTTGGGAAGGAGCAACCAAAGGTGGAGGCTGAGCTACCAGCCAATGTCTCCAAGAACAGATATCCCCATGTGCTGCCCTGTAAGTGCTGTCTCCTCCCTGCCCCCCACCACCCAGGGTGGGGATTCACACTGCAGAGCACAGGGATGGGCTCACCTGGCATCAGTGCAGGGTTCACAGCATCTGGCTCCTCTCCTGGCAGAAGGCACCTTGAAATGGGCCTCAGATTCCATTTTATGCTGAAGACTCAAGGCTTAGGGGTTGAGCCAGGGCTGAGCCACCATCCTCAGCTCCTCCAGGAGGCTGCTGGGTGGGCCTAGCTCAAGGATGGTCCCAGCTGGAGACCAAAGAAGGACCATGAGTGCCCCATGATTTCTCCTATGAACCTCCTGATAGCAGCTCTGCTTTATTCTGCCACCACTAGCCCAGCTAGAGAAGATGCCTGAACACAGAGCCTCATGCTGGCCATGTGCATGGAGCTGCTGGGGCTTCTCCCAGTGTGTTCCCCAGATGTAGAGGAGATGGCCATGTCTTGGTGAAGGGCTGCCTTGGGGTCATGTCTGTATGGTCCTTTTCAGATGATCACTCTCGGGTCAAGCTGAGCCAACAGGGGGAGGACCCACACTCAGACTACATCAATGCCAACTTCATGCCTGTGAGTGCCCACCTGCCTTCCCCACTCACACATGGTCACAGGGCACCATCAGAGAAGCTCTGCTTGGATTGAGGTTGTGAGGGTTGGTGGGCAAGAGCTATGCCTGAAGCCACAGCTGGCACGGCCTGGAAGGAGTTTGGGGTCAGGTGGAGATGTGGAGTCCTTTAGCAGGCGTTGGTGGAGATGGTTCTGTGGCACATTCTGTGAATGTAGGTGTGAGTGGGGAGTATGGCAAGGCTTTCTGCTTTCTTCCTGGGGACTGTCCTCTTCCCGTCATCTCCCAGCTGCCCTGTCTGCCTGCTCTTTCTCCTGCTGGTCTGTGCAGCTGCATTTGAACAAACCTGGAGCTGTGCCCACATCCCCCATCCAAGAGGTTGTCCCAGGTAATGGGCAGGGCACCCAGCATGCGTGGGTGGGCATCTGTGCCAGGGGGCAAAGGAGGAGACACAGCCTGAGGCCCTGCATGCTCACCCTGCCTCCAGCCAGGACTTGGGAGCCTGAGAAAGACCCAGTTCTGTCTTCCTCTGCTCAGGCTGAATGAGGAACTGCTTGGAGTGAAGCACGTCTTCATTCCAAACACTTGGAGAGCACGTGCTGGGCAGCTCATGCTCCCTGTGAAATCAGCTCTCTGGGATCTGCCCATGTGGGCTGAGGGCAAGTGACATTTCTCCTGCCACCACAAAAGCAGAGCAGGCACTGACAGTGTCCCAGGGCAGGAACCCCCTGCCTCAGCAACCTGCCAACCCCTTCTGTCTGACTCTTGCTCAGGGCTATACATCCCAGCAAGAGTTCATTGCCACCCAGGGGCCTCTGAAGAAAACAATAGAGGACTTCTGGAGGCTGGTGTGGGAGCAGAACGTCTGCAACATCATCATGCTGACAGTGTGCATGGAGAACGGGCGGGTATGTCAGGAGCACAACGTGCCAGCCCCAGACAAGCCCAGACCTGGTCGTGTGAGCTGAACCCAGCCTGGGTTGGTGCTCTCTACCAACCCCTGCCCAGATGTGGCTCCAGGATGAGCACAGGACACATGACTTCCCTGGCAGGCAGTCTGGGGAGAACAGAGGCTGATTTGAGCAGCTCAGCATTACCTTGGGTTAGGAAGAGGCAGAAGTGGAACTTATGGACATTGGTCCCCAAAAGATGGGTCTCTATCCCAACCTCCTGCTCAAAGCAGATTCATGTAGTGCAAGTTGCTCAGGGTCTTGCCCAATGGAGATTTGTGTATGTTCAAGGATGGAGAGTCTGCAGATATCTCAGCCTTCAGATATTTCTGCAGCATCTGAAATTACCACTTGCCTCTGGGAGAGACACGTCACATGGACTGTTCCTCCAGTCTCCAGGAATGATGAGACCCACAGGGTTCCTTTTCTTTGGAGGAGGCTGAGATCCAAATGAAGGGGAGGTGGGAGCGCAAAGCTCCTAGTGGGAAGGGGAAGCGCCCCTGCCTGCGTGGCTCCCTGCCTCTACAAAGGCTTCCTGGGAATCAGGAAATCACTCAGTGGGACCAGGCCTGGGCCCTCACTGGCCTCACTGGGACCCTGTCTTGCCTGTGTTTAGGTCCTCTGTGATCATTACTGGCCATCCGAATCTGCCCCGGTCTCCTACGGGCAGGTCCGGGTCCACCTACTGATGCAGAGCAGCTCTGAGGAGTGGACCATGCGCCAGTTCAAACTGTGGCACGTGAGTAAGGACCCACCAGGACTCGGGAACCTGTCAAGGGCTGGGGGTTTGCATGGGATGTGGTGGCATTTTTCCTTGGTAGTGGTGGCATAATTTTCTTTCCCTGCCATTAGTGGGTTCAACATGACCCAGTCCCCTGAGGAGCAGTCTGTCACTTCAGACTTGGTACCACGGAAGTGTCCAACATGTCCCACCCCTGCTGTCCACCCTTGCTATCTCCTTTCAATGTCCCTGCAGTGGGACACAGCCTGTAGCTCCGAGGGCATGTTCCCTGCAGTCAGAGGCAGGTCTCCTCCCTACCATTTCCTCATGCCTCACCATGTGAGGGGCTGTAGAGAAAGATAGGGGAGCAGAAGACACCAGGCAGTGCAGCAGACCTGACATTGGCTGAGCTAGGTGTCTCCCAAGTCCCCAGATGCTTCAGGGCTCCCTGTCCCCACAAGCTGCACGCTGACCACCAGCATCCGCCCTGGCAGGAGGGTGTCCGGGCAGAGCGGCACGTGTCCCACCTGCACTACACGGCGTGGCCTGACCACGGGATCCCAGAGTCCACAACTTCCATTCTGACCTTCAGAGAGCTGGTCCGGGAGCACATCCAGAGCACTAAGGATGCGGGGCCAACCCTCGTGCACTGCAGGTGAGGCTCTGCTTGGGGGATGGCAGGAGGGGCAATGGGAGAGGACACAGAGCACTCCCTGAGCACCAACTGGGAGGGGAAGCAACCCCTGGAGACATGGCTGGTCTCCTGCCTGGGCAGTGGGGGTTGCAGGGCTGCTCTCAGCCTGGGCCCCAGTTCAAGGGATTGACACAACTGGAGCTGGCCAGCACCAAGGATGGGCAGAATGGCTCCTCAGCCCCACACTGTACTTGGACACTGGCTCCTCAGCCCCATGCCATGCTGGGACCAGTGCAGCACCCTTGCAGCACGTGCAGCAGCAGGAGGTACCTGTTGGGTCAGGCACTGTTTATCTTTCACTGTCTGTGCCCCCAGTGCCGGGGTGGGTCGCACTGGCACCTTCATTGCCCTGGACCGGCTGCTGCAGCAGATGAAGCAGGAGAAGGTGGTGGACACATTTGGTGTTGTTTACACCTTGCGGATGAACCGTTACCTGATGATTCAGACGCTGGTGAGACCTCTGCTCCCTCTTCCTCGGCCCCCTTGCTCCAAGGTGTCAGGGCTTGCAGGGCTGATAGACAGGCTGACTAGTCCCAGCAGCCCCAGGCTGGTCCCCAACCTGACCGCTGTGTCATGGAGAAGTGACCTGTCAACTCAGTGAAAATTGCTCAGCTGTGAGGGTCTCCAGCAGCTTCCTGCCCTGCTAGACCTGCAGCAGCAGCACACAGAGTCTCAGAGCCCTCCCAGGAGGTTCAAAGCACCCCACCTAGGAACAGGATCAGACCCTTTGCAGGCAATTCTTAACCCACACCACGTCTCTGGTCTCTGATGCTCCACAGCCCATGTCATATTTCCAGTGCTCAGGGTTGGGACAAGGTATCAGCCCTCCCTTTCAGGACAGACAGACCCAAGGGGGGTATCCAAGGGCTCTGAGACTGAAGAACCCAGGGTCTTTCGGGCATGAGAGTAGGACACCCTTTTCCCCCCAGGCAGTGCCATTCCCACCCTCCCATGCTGCCCTCATGGTGCAGTGCCCTGCAGCTCTGTCTGCCTTTGCCTTCCAGTCCCAGTACATTTTCCTGCACAGCTGTATCCTGGACAAGATCTTGGAGGAGCCACTCTTGGGTTTATCAGAGGCAGAGAGGTGAGGGCCTGTCACTCTGCACACCCTGACCCACAGCCCTGCAAGGATCCTCAACCCAGTTTGAGCCCTGGCCCCATGACAGAAGGACAGGGAAGCCCAACCAGCCATCCCACTCTGTGTTTTAAGGGGGGCAGCCCAGGGCTGGGTGTTCTTGCAACATGGGGACCCCAGTCCAGAACCAGCTGTGAGTCAATGGGCACACTGGGAAGGCTTGGACCACATCCTTCTTTCTTCCAGTGCCAGTCTCCTGGGCTACACCAATGCCAAAGATCTGCAGAGCTGTCCTGGGGAAGGTGTTTCCATCAGCTCTGGCTCCCCAGCCTACAGGGATGCCCTAGAGATAGGTCCAAGCTGGAAGGCTCATGGCTGGGTGGCCTTGGGTTGTCCCTTCTAATGGAGGTCAAGGGGAGGGAACAGGGTCAGGCTGGGTAGGGCTTTGCCCACCTATTACTGTCTCTGAGGCTACATCTGGAGGTCCTATACATTTTATGGCCAAATTGTCTCCTCCCTCATGCCAAGCAGGATTACTTTGTCCTTGCTGCATCTTTGGAATGGACCCTGGGCTGTGCCTCACCTGAGACCACCTACCTTTGTCCAGGGGAGAGCAGGTTGGCATGGGCCTGGATGCTGCTGAGTCTGCTCACCCTCACCCCTAGGTTCTCTCCCCAGGTCCTGCCCCATCCCACTGAAGAGCTTTGCTCAGCACTACGCCCAGAAGGCAGCCAAGGCCCACATGGGCTTCCTGAGGGAGTACGAGGTGAGAGCAGTGGTGGGCAGGGGGCAAGGGGCACTGCCATGGCTACATGCTCTGGAGGCACCTGGGGAGCCTGGGCAGGATGTGAGACACCCAGTAAGAGTCTCCTGAGTGGGTCCCATGCCCCAGTTCCCATGTCCCTGTCTGTCCTGGCACACAGCTCCCTCTCATATCCTGCATGGATCAGAGTCTGTCCATTACTTGCTCCCCTGACCCCACGCGGGGTCGGGACCACCTGAGCACCTTTCTTCTAGAGAGGGATGTAGTGGCCTCCTGGCAGCACAGGGTAGTCACCCAGGACCCCAGCTAAGGCTCTGCATACACAGCTACAACCACCCCTCTGCTGAGCCCGGGTGTCACCAGGAGTCTCCAGTCCACCCAGGTCCTGACCATTCCTCACTCACTGCTTCCTCCATCCTCTTTAACTCTGGCAGAACCTCCTGGAGGTTGTTAAGGAAGAAGCCAGCTCTGCAACACCATCTGCAGGCAACCGGCAGACACAGCCCTCTTCCAGCATCCTCCCATGTAAGTGCTGGGACACCTTGCCCTAACCCTAAACCCTAACCCTAACCCTGGAGCCAGGCTGGGCCAGGGCTGGTGATCCACAGAGAAAAACATAATTTGACACACTGCAGTGAGTCCACCAGAAGACCAGACAGATGTTTTGGCGTGGAGCCCATGATGCGTGGGACCCACTAGGTCTGTTTGTTCAGAGAAGGCGAAGGGGAGATGGTCTTGCCATCTTCAGCTGCCTGCTGGGAGAAAATGTGGTCTTCTCAGATGTGCATCAGGGAAGGACAAGAGGCAATTGGAATTATTTGGGAGGATACTCCAACTAGGTATAAGGAAAAATTAATTCTGATAAAGGGGGCCAAACAGTAGGGCAGGGGCCCAGAGCATCTGCAGACTCTCCATCCTTGGAGATATCAGCTCTCCACAGGCCAAAATACTGAGCAACCTTCAATACTCCTCACTGCTTTGAGCAGGAGGTTGGGATAGAGACCTGTCTTTTGGGGACCAGTGTCCATGAGCTGCAGAGGGGAGCACCTTTGCAGACAACTGGTGAATGGGAAGTTGGATTTGTGTACCTGTGTGGAGTCCAGCAGGGGTCTGCAGGAGCTGTGTTGGCACAAGATTGGCTTGGATCCTGTACCTCCCACATCTTCAGAATCAGAGAATCACAGAATCATTTGTTTGGAAAAGGCCTTTAAGATCATCAGGTCCAACCATTACCCCAGCCCTGCCAAGGCCACCACTGGCCCATGTCCCTCAGCACCACATCTACAGGGCTTTGAAGTCCCCCCAGGGATGGGGACTCCCCCCCTGTCCTGGACAGCCTGGGCCAGGGCCTGACAACCCTTTCCAGGAAGAAATTGTTCCCAAGATCCAGTCTCAACCTCCCCTGGCACAACCTGAGGTCATTTCCTCTTGTTCTATCCTTTGTGCCTGGGGAGCAGAGCCCGACCCCACTGGCTCCAACCTCCTCTCAGCTGCAGAGCCAGCAGGCCTCCCCTCAGCCTTCTTTGCTCCAGGCTGGACAACCCCAGCTCCCTCAGCTGCTCCTCGTAAGACTTGTGCTCCAGACCCTTCCCCACCTTTGTTGCTCTTTTCTGGACACACTCCAGGCCTTCAATGTCCTTATTGTGGTGAGGGGCCCAAAGCTGACCCCAGGATTTGGGGTGCAGCCTCACTTTGCCATCACTTTTGCAGATGATCGCTCCAGAGTGAAGTTCTCCCTGCTGGAACAGGCCCCTTACTCAGGTCCCCTGCAGGTGTGGCGTGTCCCGGTGAGTCCTGCCCACTGGGCCTGGGTCCCACGGGCAGAAGGTGATGCTGCCCCTTCCTTACCCACTCCCTCCTGCTGGTCCCTGCACTGCCCCAGTGGTCACTGCTGCTGTCCTACTGTGTGGACACAAGGGGACTGTGGGGACAGTGAGTTGTCACCTGCCCAGTTTGGGCTGTCCTACCTTCCTTCTCTCAGTGCTTTCTCTTCTCTCATTGGCTTCTGACCTGCTGAGCTTCCCTTCTTTTCCTGGCCTCTCCTGCAGCTGCCTGGGCTGAAGGGGTACCTGCGCCAACCTCTTCAGCAGG